GATTTTACTGACTTTGACTAGTGAAAGTAAAATCCTTTCTTTTGCATTTTACTATAATTGGTAGGGAGAACAATAAAGCAGGTGAGAGCAGACTACTATGAATAAAGAAGTATTGTTGGGAGAAAATTAGGAAAGGCAGACTGAGGTTTCTGGTTGAGTAAAATCTTGTTTGGTTTCAGGGAAAATGATTGATTTCTAGAGTAGGATCCAGAATACAGTGGTTCTCAAACTTTACCACACATAAGAATATACTTAAAAATGCCGATTTCTGGACCCATTCCCAGAGATTTGGAGTCAGTGAGTCCAGGGTGAGATTAGGTAGAGAAAACTGCATTTCCTATAAGCTCCCCAGGTGATTTTTGAGCAAGGTGTACTTCGACCACACTTTGAGAACCACTGTTCTAGAAAAACACCCAATTACCTGGAAGCTTCTGATGGGATTGCAGAGACCTGAGGCAGGTTTTGGGAAGCAACCTGGCACAGGCTTCCACAGGGCAAGCTGCTGCTTTAGTTTTCCATCCCTAATTAATAGACTCTGGAGCCTACAGTAGCTGGCATGTGATTTAGAGCTATTTTAAACAAGACAAAACAAATGATGTGCAGCTGGAAACTGCTACCTTGAAGTATAAATTCAGCTGTAATTTGCATTCAATTTCTTACAGATGTGGCACCGCAACATGATAGCACATTCTAAAACCCGTAAAGCCAGAGTGGTGACTGACGAGAATTTGACAAAGACAACCTGCACTGGAACACATGTGACCATTATTATTTCTTAAAGTTATGGCCATGTAAACATGCAACATGACCAAAGATGAAGTACCTCAGCTGTTTATTTAGTGAAACACGCCAGTGGAGAAATTTGCTGAGAATGACTGTGGCTGATTTGAAATTCTCTTGGGGCTCACTCCTTGTCTTTGCCTCGTTTGGCGGAACTGCTGAATATATCTGTAGGCATGTTTATGGATTTAGGTTAGACTTATTTGGGAGATTTCATGGAAGAAATAAAGCCTAAGTGGTATTTGAAGAAAATGCCAGAGTGCAGGACAATTTAAGTGTGTGCCATGGGCTCTATCCTCCTTTGAGGAAGCTCTTTCCACGTAGTTTTGTCACCCTTTATGTCACATGATTCCTTAACTCTCGTCACAACTGCCTAGATCAGATTCTGGTGGACAATGCAAAAGCAATTGTTTAGAAGAAGGTGACAAATAATCCATCTGTTTGGAGAATATGAGTGGAAGATGTGCCTAGGAAGCAATGGACATCTGTGTTTGAGGCAGTGATAAGATGTCAAAGGCACTGCCACTTAAAGGATGATCCATGAATCTGTGTCTGTCCATGAACTGTTACAGGTATATGAAGAGACAGGTACTGACACTGAGAGGAGGTAAAAATTTTCATAGGGATTAAACATTGCCAGAACACCCAACTACATGACTAGCCGTTGTAGTAATAATTTATTAATACAAAACAAATCATCTCCAAACATAGTGGCTTAAAAAGCAATAAATATGTATCATTTTACACAGTTGCTGTAGTTCAGGAAATCAGGATCTGCTTAGCTGGTTGCTTCCTTAACTTTTTTACCATTTTTTAAAAAATTGAAGTACAGTCAATTACAATGTGTCATTCTCCAGTGCACAGCACAACCATTTTTATTATACTGTGTTTTGGTGTGTGTCTCTCTGGTTTTATCTTATTCAGAACTCTCTAGGCTTCCTGGAACTGAATGCCTATTTCCTTCCCCAGATTAGGGAAGTTTTCAGCCACTACTTTTCAAGTAATTTTGCTGGCCCTTTCTCCCTTTCTTCTTCTGGAACACTTATAATGTGAATGTTATTCTGCTTCATGTTGTCCCAAGTGACCTTTAAATTATCTTCACTTTTTAAAATTCTTTTTTTCATTTTGCTGCTCTGTCTGGGTGAGTTCCATTGCTTTCTCTTCCAGCTCACCGATTCACTCTTCTACGTCATCCAACCTGCTTTTGAACCCCTCTGTATTTTTCAGTTCATCTATAAGTTCTGTTTGGAATTTTCATACATTTTCTCTTTATTGAAGTTCTCACTATGTTTGTCCACTTTCCTCCCGAGTTAAATGAACATGTTAATGACAATTACTTTGAACTCTATCTGGTAGATTGCTTACCACCATTTCGTTTAGTTCTTTTTCAGAGGTTTTGTCTTGTTCTTTCAATTGGAACATATTCCTCTATCTCCTGATTTTGCTTAATTCCCTGTGTTTGTTTCTATGTATTAGGTAATTTCAATTGGGTTCTTGTGGTCAGTCCTGGTTCTGCATTTTAAGGACAGATATTGAAAATCAAGACCCCTCCCCACTCCCTATTCCCTTCATATTAGAAAAATAATTTGGGATTGCCAGATAAACTGATGATAAGGAGATTAGAGGCATCTTTATTGATGAGCCATTCATGAGAGTACTGAATATGCTTAGCCTGGAGAGGAAAAGATTCAAGGATTGTATGATAACTATCTTTAAATATATGATGGATTTTCAGGTAGCACAGAGATTAGGACTTCTGCACCTGGGAAGTTACAGGGAGATTAATGTCATTCTTTGTAAGAACTTCTGAAAATCAGAGATTACTAAAGTTGAAACTGACTGTCCCAGGAGGTAGTGAGTTCCCTATTATTGAAAATATTTAAGCATAATTTGAATACTACTTGGCAAGGATGTTGTCAGTGGGCTTCAACAACAGTTGTAAATCATGAGTTGACTTTTAATATTCCTTTTCAAACTTTTGGTTCTTTTACTCAAGAGATTGACGCAGTATAGGTAACCACTTTAGTCAGCACTTATGAGGACTCAGAATATTGGTGGGATCAACACTGATCTAGGTTCTGATTTTCACCTTCTCAGTTAAAAACACAGTATTTGCAATTCTCCTTTGTTATCTTTTAAAAAGACAATATTTTGATGCTAGAATGTTTATTTATTTTAATAGGCAACATATGTTTTTAGAAGGAACACTTAAGTCTGTTTTTTAGGGCACCATTAACCAACATCAAGGCATTTACAACACTAATTTGTCAAAAGTTTTAAACCAACAAAGACCAAAACCATGGTTATTTGATGGTTTCAGGAAGAGCATTGAGTATTATTGCTCTTCTTCTGAATATTAGTCCTGGAATATTGATGTTTCAATGATGACTCTAATGAAACGGATTACAAGTAAAATTTCATGAGTATTTTTTTGAATCTGAAGAAGTTATTTCAAGGATAACTAAAAGAACAAATTGGAGAACAGGCAAAATTTTTGTAAGTGGAGAGTTTATAGCTGTACTTCCACTTTATTAAAATGCTATAATAATTAACACTGTAATACTGATATTAAATAGATCGATAGACTGATCGAAAAGAGTCCTAGCCCCTAAATAGACTTTGTTGTATAAAACAAGTTAATATATTTTAAAGGAAGCACCATAAATAAGAAAGGTAGTATTGCCAGAGCTGCTCCAAGTCTTTGTTCAAAAACCTCCAACCTCCACCTTTAGCAAAAGTGTCTTTGCCCAAAACCTGCCAACCCGCACCTTTAGCAGGAGTTAACGTAAATCTTTAAGTTAAAGGGTCCAGAGACAAGAAAGGAAGCTACAAACAAACAAACAAAAACCAGATGGAACCAGCTGGGGCTAAGATGCCAACAAATCTGACCTCCAACAGATCCTGAGTCTCATTATACATTGATTTTACTACAGCATATTAAATGACGTCTACTGACAGCTGCAACCAGACACCAAGGACCAAAAAGGAATAAAAAGATGGTAGTACCCCAATCTCTTGAAAAAGCACTGCCTCCTCCGCAGTAGACTAAGGCATAAGCCTCCCCATCATTAGCCTCACTCCTCCTCCCTTTGTTTGTACTTTTAAAAATTAAATCCCTATTGCCATATAGATGAGACGTTGATCTATGAACAAATTCCTGCTTCTCCATTCTTTGGTCACTGAATAAAGCTTGTACTGTATCCATCTCAGCTTCGGTTTTGTTATTTGCCTGCTTAAACCCAAATGGAAAAAGTACCCTCCTTGGCCAAGGCAGAAAGAGCCTCTGCCTGGCAAGGGCCTGAGCAGGGTACATGTGACTTAATTTGGTAACAGTAAGGAAGATTTATTCAGTACATTTTAGTTGTACACACCTAATTAGCAATATAAGAAAGTGGAACAAGACTTAGATCCCTACTTCTCTCTTTTTTAAAAAGTCTTGAAAACATACCTTTAATCTTTAGAATAAAACTGTCAATGCTACAGAAGAGAGTGAATCTCCATTTTAATTTGACTCAGCCTCAGTCTTCTCATCTGCGAATACAGATTAGTTTTGAACTTTTTATCAGGTAAATTAAACTGCTATGTTTGTTTCATTAATGTTCCCCCACCCTCACCTCGAGGTTTTATTTTGTTCTTTCATTTGGAGCATACTCCTCTGTTTCTTCATTTTGCTTGACTCTCTGTGTTGCTTTCTATGCATTAGGTGAAACAGCCACTTCCAGTCTTAAAGGAAAAGCTCGTGTAGATGAACTTTATTCAACCCTGCCCTAGCTCTTGGTGGTCTCTCAAACCTCTGTGACTGTCCCAGCAGCCTACCTCCTTTTAATGCCTCTGAGGCCTGGAAGGCTGTGGCCAGACCTGTCAGTGTCCCCAAAGGGAGGATCTGAGTCCGCACCCAGATTCGGGCAACAGCTTTTAAAGCACACACATATACACAGGGCTGTGGCACCCATTGTGGACAAAGAATGCCGCCTGCCACGTTAGCAAACAACGGATGCTGTGGCCACCAAGCCAGCAGCCACTGCAGCCGCCCCCTTGGTGAGTCCTGAGGGGACTCAGGATGGGGAAGAACAGGATCCTGGCCCTAGATAGTTAAGATGCACATCAAAGGAATGATTTCAATGAGCCCAAACTCCTGCATCTTCCCATACAGAGAAAAGCACTAAAATCATTAACTTGAGATGTCTTTTTTTTTTTTTAATTAAGAGTAATCTTTTTATGTTACGACTACCTTTTTTTGTTGTTGCAAAAGCTCCTATATATCCTGGCTCCCCTCTTACCTCTTCTGCCTCCCGGGCTTCAGTCCTCAGCAAGTCCACAGAATAAAACGTAATTCTCAACTTTCAGTTGTGCATTTTTTTTCAGTCAACAACACGCAAAAGCCACCAGAACCTGGCCATGTGGAGGTGTCCCCTGTGTGGCAGGCTAAAAATCCAGGCTCAGACGCTCGAGTATGGGAGACAGCAGCGCGCTGTGAGGAGGCGGAGGGGGAGCAAAGATGGCGGCGACCTAGTTCCCCAAGGGCAGGACTGTCTACAGCCTCTGTTGTGGCGCCAGCGCTGTGCCTGCCCCTCACTGAAGCTCCAGGACAAGCAAATGGGCCTCCTTCTCAGAGAGATGGAGATGTGTTTCCATTGCTGTTCGTGCTGAGCCCTAGAGGAGGTGCGGTGGGAGCGGCGCTGCGGAGAACTGTCTACTCGGGTGGTTCCAGTCCCGGGGGAGCGAGGACTCCGCGCCTTCCGGCCACCGGAAGCGGAGTTCAAGGGGCGTCTCCTGGGCGGCGGCCGCAAATAGGGCGTCAGGAGGTGTAAAAACCCGGCCAGCAGACTCGTGTTAAGGGCTCCGTTCTGGGAGATACCAGCACATTGTGTGCGGTAGAGGGGAGAAAAGCGCACCCTGTGAGAAAAAAAAGAAAACAGAAACGTAAAAGAAAGAAAGAAAAAAAGAAAACAAAAACGGCGCCTGCAGGCTTGAGCACCCCAGCAGGAGAGCAGGAAGATGGCGCCCACCAGCTTCGCCCCCAGAGACTGTGCCTGCCACTGAGGCCCTTCACACCATCGCTTTCAAATTAGCAAGTGCGTTTCTTTCACAGAAAGTCCGGCACTTTTCAAAGGTCTGCGCCTGTGGCCATGGAGCGGGTGAGTCTGCAGGCTAGCCCTGTTCAGAGCCCTTTCTCAGTTCCTCTCAGCCTCCTGGGTCTGGGGGGTGTGAGCCCCGCTAGTCTTCAAAGCCAGGCGCTTTGGGGGCCAGTCGCTGAGTTGCAGGTCTTCAGAGTTGGGGTGCCCGGTATTGGGTGTGAACCCTTCAGTCTTCAGCAAGAAACTCCAGGTTTAGAGTTCCTCCCCCAATGATCGATCCACATCTCATATCATATTTCAAATTATATCCAGTGTTAATTAGTTAAGTGTTATTAATAAAACTATAATGAAACCTAGATTCAAATAGAAGAATATTTAAAATCTAAGTATGAGGAAGGTTTTTAAGTTAAAAACGATAGAAGAAATAACAGGGAAAGAAAAATTTTGATTATGTAAAAATGTAAAACATTGAGAAATAATGTACAATTGAAAGGAAACTTAAAAAAATAATTGGCAATATGTATGACAAAGAAATGCTTAATTTCTTAAACAGATCTTGTTCAAATTCATAAGAAAAATTACAAAACTAATGGGACAGAAGGCATGAACACTATTCACGAAAGAAAAATCAAGTGGCAAACATGGAAAAATTTTCAGTTTTATTAAGGAATGTGAATTAAAATGAGGTGTAATTTCACCTTCTAAATTACCAAAGATTTAATTGTTTTGCAGACTAATCATACTGATGAGAGAGCAGAGGAAAGCAATTTAGGAATATGTGTCAAGAGCTTTAAAATGTTAATATTCTTTGGCCCTGTCGTTCTATTTCCAGAATCTATCTTGAGAAAAGAATACAACGCAGAACAAAAATTTTTCATTTTTGCAGAATATTGAAAATCATGAAAGATTTTTTAAGAACAAGAAATAGGGCAATAGTTAAGTAAATTATGGCATCTCCATATTAAGAAATATTTTGATGCCATTAAGATTGTATTTATGAGCAGTGGTTAATAATATGGGGAAATGCTTATATTATAATGCTAGGGAAAAAGATAAAAGTATGTGATTCCTTACAAATATGCTTTACAAAAAAGATTAGGGGAAGGGTCACCAAAATATTAACAAAAAATGCCATTGATGCCAACTGTAATATTGCTATATTTTGGATGATGTCGGATAAACCCAGCCAAATTCTTGTTCTTTGGCTCTGTTTTTTCTTGATGCCAGGTGGCTTACCACCCTTCTGTTAACTCATAATTTCCTGAGTCAGATGTTAATAAATTTAATTTGATTACGGCTTTCTTTCCATTAGTGATATCAGCAGGAAATCTTGATTATGCTTAAGACATTTTGGCCTCTTAATCAGGTTTGGGAATCTTTTTAGGTTTTTGAGAAACTCAGTGGCAAACAGATTCAGATGAAGCTCTTCTGTAGATGATTGCCATCACTTATTTTTAAGTTGATTGTACTAGCTTTTGTTTTAGAGACTATTACCCTATCCACAAATTCTGGGGCTGTATTTATTTGGAGCCTATAGCCAGTTACTTGTGCTGACCACACCATCTACTATCTTTTGTCCCCCTACTCACCCACATAATCTCGATTTTTTTTTCTTTTGTTGGCTACAGTGTCACGTTGGGCTACTTGAAGGCCTGCATGTTTGGGAGGAAATTTTCAAGCAGTCTGACCCAATTCAGAAATCTTGGTCTTTTAATCAGGAATGCAGGTGGATAAATCTTGCTGTTCAGTAAGGCATACTGCTGAACTCATCACTTTTCTTTGTTGAGCCAGTCCTGTTTGTCAGAGACATAGACAGCAATCATCGATGCACAAGATTTGCTGCCCCTTTTTCCTGATCCTAACAAGAACGAGGTTAGTTTGCCATGTCTTTTCCTCAGTAAACTCATGCTGACTTCTGGCAATTACTGTGTCCTTTCCAAGTGCTTATAAACTTCTGTTTACTAATCACTCCTAACATTTTGCCAGGGATATATGCAGAACTTCCTCATTTTTGAAAATTAGGAAATCTACTTCTGTCCAGTTTCATTCTTCCTACCTTGCTTTTCATGATTTCTCAAAGTTTACCACAGTCATACATGCATGCTATTTTAATCTGCTGAAATATAGTTAATTTGGGTTAGAGACCTAAATTCATTTAGCATTAGGTGCTTTCTTTAAAACTTACCTTACTTGTATGTCTTTGATTCCCTACTGATGATAGATGTTAGTTCTGTCCTTTTCAGATAGAAAAGATAAAGCCACACTGGAATGAAGTAATTATTTTTTTGTGTAATCTGTAAACCATTTTCTCCAGCAGATTCAAGACCTATTGTGTCCTTACTCCAAACATACTTAGTTGACTTAAACATTTTTTTATAAATCTCAGCTACTTAGTGCTTCTTGGGGATTTGTGGCGGCCTTTTGCTGTGTCGTTAGGCAAATTATTTAACCTTGGTTTCTTCCTTTGTAAAAAGGGAATCATAATATGATTTATATCATTGAGTTATTATGCCGATTGAACGAGTATTTGTGAAGGCCCTAAAGAGTTAGCACTACCTACATATTAAATAAATTTTCTTAAAAAAAAAAACCCATGCTCTCTGGAGAACCTCTCCCTCCATTTTTTATATGCCATCCATTTTGTTCCATCATTGGGATTATTGTAGTTGAATGATCAGAATTTATTTCTTCATCAATGAATGCCATAGAGTAGCCTCATCTGTTTATAAAGCACACAAAATGTACTTGATTATTTGGTGTATTATTCATTAGTAAGCTCCTTGAGTTGCCTAATCAATTTGATTGTAACTTATTAATCTTTTCATAGTATTTATGAATAATAACTTTTGAAAATGCTTTTATGACCTCTGTGTTCTGGGTTTTGACACATTTTCTTTTTCTTTTTTTTAAACAAAGAACTGATACCATATTTCATTCTTACAGAGAATAGTATTAATTTAGTACAAGGCTTTTTTTCCCCCACTGATTTATGTTTGCATGGTGACAAAATGATTTAAATCTCACATACCAAGTTATTGTATATGATTTATAACCCTTATCTACAAAGTGATTAGCAGATTTATGTGCTAGAAAGTTCTGATAATTTTTACGATTATTTAACATAAATCAATTACTTCAACTTTTACGTGGAGCATATTTCTTTTTCAACTTTGACAACCTTTATATTTGGGTAAATTTCTCCATCCCAAACATCCATGGCTTCTATCTTGATTTTCCCACTCTGATTAAATAACTTATTTAATAATCAATTTTGGTCCCTTTTTTTTTCATCAGATTAGGAAAAGAAGCTAAAATGTATTATTTTTAACACGTATATCTATGATACAACCAACACATGTCTAAATGAATAAATATATATCTTGACTCTTTTTCCTTTGGACGATATGTAAAACTCAAAGTTTGTTGAAGTTTCTAAGGTTTTTTACCCTCCACTTTTGAGCAGTAGTAGAGAAGCTCTTCAGAAATAAGAGAATGTACAGAATTTTTAGTGATTTAGAAATGTACAGTTTCCTGAAATCTTTCGGGCAGGATTTGTCTAAGTGAAGAGCAGACTACCTCTTATGTACTTAGGAAATGAATCACTCAGCTCTGTGAAAGTAGGTGAGGTATTTCCAGCTCCCAGTCAGGATGACAACGTGGGGCAAAGTGTGCCTATTCTTTGCTGGTATTTCTAATCCACCCAAATGAGCAGCAAAGGGAGAGTTAGCAGCCCTTCATGCTTAATGCTTACTGCACGCTCATTACCTCTTTGGAGAATTTATATAAAAGTGACCCAGAGGACATTTAAAGGTCTCTTTTCTTGCTCTAACCTGCTTTGCTGGCCTTACATACTGAGACTTCCGTACAAGGGCCTGACATCCTGCCTAAATTGAAATATTTGCTACTTCCTAAGTCTCTCCCATGCCTTCCGCTATCTATAGCTTAAGCATAGCTAATTAGCACACTGGATGTCAAAAAATTTTGTTTTGTTAATTGGTGAAGCGAGTTACTTGTTAATTAGCACGATAAATGCTGGAAGAGGGAGCTCGTTTGTGAAATTAAAAGTATTCAATATATGTAGGTTTGCTAAATAAAGACCACCCTTACATGAATAGAGTTTCAGAATCTGGAACAGTTTGTGCCCTGTCCCCTTTGAGATGGTGCCAGAGGCTTCGTCCTTAATTGCTTCTGTGTCCAGCTTAGAACACGGTTTCTCAGCCTCAGCACTACTGATATTTTGGGCTGGATAATTCCTTATTTCATGGGCTGTCATGTCCATTGTAGGATATTTAACAACATCCCTGGCCTTTGCATACTAGATGTCAGTAGTGCACTCCCCTCTTTGTGACAGGGAAAACTGATGTCCCCTAGGGGGCAAAATCACCCCAGTTGAAAACCACTTGGTTAGGTAGATTTCTGATCTGATGGTATGATTCTTTTTTTTTTAAATGTAAGTATAGTTGAGTTGCAATATTTCATTAGTTTCAGGTGTACAACATAGTGACTTGATATTTTTATAGCATACACACTGTACAGGATTATTACCATATCATTGCCATGATTATTGATGAACTGTGCTGCATCATTCTGATTAGAAGAAATAGACCCCTGCCTAAGGTATGTGCCATGCCTGAGAGAATGTGTCACACGGAGATGGGAGCCTAAAGGATGCTGTGACTTCCCTGAGTTACAGAGTAACAATGTAGGAGGGTTCCCTTTTCTCCACACCCTTTCCAGCGTTTATCATTTGTGGACTTTTTAATGATGGTCATTCTGACTGGTGTGAGATGATACCTCGTTGTAATTTTGATTTGCATTTCTCTGATAATTAGTGATATTGAACAGTTTTTCATGTGCCTATTGGACATTTGTACATCTTCATTGGAGAAATGCTTGGTTAGATTTTCTACTTTTTTTTTTGATTGGATTGTTTGTTTTTTGTTATTGAGTTATATGAGCTGTTTGTGTCTTCTGAAAGTTAGGCACTTGTCAGTCACGTCGTTTGCAAGTATATTCTCCCAGTCCATCCACCATTCCCTATTGATGGAAATTTAGGTTAT